GTGCAAGACCTGAAAAAACTTCTCAGTAAGAGCAGGTCCCAGTTGTTAATTCTTTCAACTGTTTCCCGTGTGATTTGATTTCTGTTCATGAAGTCTTTGCCTACCCCTATGTCTTCAAGAGTTCCTCCTACTTTCTCTTCCAGGAGATTTAGTCTCTGCTTTATGTTTAGATCTTTAATACATTTTGACTTTAGTTTAGTGCATGGTGATAGACCTGGGTCAAGTTTGAGTTTTCGGCATGTAGAGAGCCAGTTTTTCCAGCACCATTTGTTGAAGAGGCTTTCTTCCAGTGAGTATATTTGGCCCCTTTGTCAAAGATAAGGTGACTGAGTGTGTTCCCAAAAGCTACAACTCTTGTTGCATAGGTCCTGCTTTACCTTGGCCTTAACCATCCAGCAGAAAAGTATAAAAACGAAGTATAAGAAGTAAAGCCATGGTGTTATGTTGAGCTGTAGGGGACTCAGGTCAACAATTTCTGACATTGCCAGTCAAGCGGAAGACCCAATACTATTATGGACTACTGAACTCTTCTAGAATATTTTGCTGAGTTTACACACCTATAATATTTAAATGATGGAACTTAACAAAAAAAAGGGGGATACAGATGAATGTCCATTTTGTATCTGTGTATTCAAAGTGGTTAGGATACATATATAGTTGCATTCGCTTAATGAATAGAGGGATTTGTTCTAATGGTGTTTATAAATAAGATATCAAGTCTGTATCTTGTACAGCAATTAACCACTAGGAAGAATGTGTGCAATATGTTAATTATTGAGACTGTCCTACCAATTTGGTTTGAAACTGTCTCATTGCTATTTGTTTCTCAATAAAATTATGGAAGAAAAAAAAAAAAGAAGAAGAGTGCAAGACCTTCTTTTAAGCGCCACCCTACAGATCCTCATGACTCACCAAAAAAACCCCAGCTCTGAGCCTAGCCCTTTGTCCCCACAGTGACCTGAAAGAAATGATGGTTGGAGCAGTGAGATTCTGGCCAGGGCTCCCAGGGAGTACATGGCCAGCATTAGGCAGTGTAAAAGTGAACGTCAGAGCAACACCAAGAGGAAGAACGGACAGCTGCTAGAAGGCCCACTCAGCCTCACCTGGTCTTGTTGAACTCTTAAAGCTTAGTAAGGAAACATAGGCTCTGAGGCTGGAAGTAGCCATGGATAGCTGGGAAGCAGGGCCAACAGCCCTCCTCTGCACACCACTGCCAGCTCCCCACATGCCAATCTTCTCAGGTCCCCTGACAAGAGTACTTTAACAAGACCCTGGCATTTAGCCATCTTCAGGGAAGATACATCCCAATCCTTCTGGAGAGGAGGCATAGTTTGCTATGGACTGAACTGTAATTCATACACTGAAGCCCTAACCCTTGACATGATAGTTTGGGATGCGGGTCTTTGGAAGGTAATTAAGTTTATATTAAGTCTTGCAGGTAGGGCCCCTGTACTAGGACCAGCATCCTCGTGGAGAGATGCGAGAGTTTGCATCCCCTCCCCCTCTGTCATGGGAAGACACGGTGTGACAAGTCTGGAAGTGGACAATCCCCCAAAAGTGAATCAGCAGGCAATAGGTCCTGCTGACTTTCCATTTTCCAATCCGAGAGAAAATATATTTCTGTTGTGTAAGCCACCCAGACTGTGGGTTTTTGTTGTTGTTTTATGGACAAGAAATAAAAAGCCTTTCTCTGCTCTCTGCTTTCTTTGTGTCATGGGGGTGCAAAGGGGCAGGTTAGGTACAGATGTTCAAGGGCAACTGGGTGCCTCACTTTGTATGCTGCAGACCTGCCAAGGCCTTCAGTCTGTTCAGCAAGAACTCAGGTCTCTGGCCTCAAGAGCTCGTCTCTATTTAAATGAAAATATACCTAGGAGGAGCTGTATGCAAGCCCCAGGGACTATACCACAGTAGAGTTAACTCATTACCTCCTTCCCTGGAAGCTTTAATAAGGGCGAAGTAAGACTGGGTCTGAGGTAAAAGAAGAGTGTGGAAAGCTTAGTTCAGAGGAAGGGGAAAAAAGGTATTACTCAGTGAATAAAGGTGACAGAACTATAAAGCCCCAATACGAGTCATGGAAAAAAAATTTTGGTTAGGGGGTTGAGGAGATAGCTCAGTAGAATAAGCGCTTGCCTGGTGAGCGCAAGGGCCTGAGTTCAATCCCTGGTTCCGGAAAAAAAAAAAAAAATATATATATATATATATATATATATATATATATATATATATATGAGTCATGGGCCCTCCTACTATGGGAAATGTTTGTATGAAGTGCACTCAGAAATATTGTATTTTGGCTAGAAATGGTAATGCATGCCTATAATCCCAGCACTCCACTAAACAGGCAGAAGAACCACAAGTCTGAGCCTAGCCAGGATAACTTAGCAAAACCTTGTCAAAGAAAAGGAGGGGCTGAGAGATAGTTCATTACAAAGCTCTAGTTCTAATGCAAAAATTTTAAAAAGCAATTTCATTTATTTATTTACCTAGAATAGGGTAACAGACATTACCAGAAGATTAAACTATTTATTTATTTATTTATTTATTTAGGGTAACACACATCTTTGATCTTTGCTTCCTAGTTACTTAGTAGGCTCCCAGGGAGCAGTTCCTTCACAAAGCATTTCCACATATTTGCTGCTTCCCAGACCCCACTGTGAAACAAAATCTTCCCCAATATAAAAATCCTGACTTCTGTTCTGGTACACAGCCACCTGAAGGGCTGCATTTCCAGTCCTTTGCAACTAAGATGATGATTGGGTTCTTGACCTGTGAGACTTACAAAGTTCATAAAAGTGAGCTCCTGGTACTGGCTAGGAAGCAGAAGCAGGTGTCTCGAGAAAGCTGGCACCTCTGATAACTCCATGGATCCACCAACATCAACCACAGATTGATGACCACACCCCAATGTCTGGTATGTAGGAATTTTTTCTCTCCTGTCATTTTGGGTTTTGCTGTGCTATTAAACTTAATCCTGTCTTAAAGAAGGGACCACTATAACAAAGACTGGAGAAAGGCAGACACTTTTCTCACCTTGCCTAGCCACATGTGCCAGTGTGGCCAGAGGTGGCCAATGATATAGGACGGAAGTTCTGGCGCAGAGAAGAACAGAAGGAAGATATTCTGGAAAATATCTTTTCTTCTCTGAGAAAAACAAACAAACAAACAAAAGCAGGTGCTCCCGGACTGGCAACATATTTCCTGCTATTCGCCTTTGGCTTCAGCCCCTGAAAGTGTATGTAGAGCTGTGGCAGCCACCCTACAAGCACAGAACTACAAATCCACAGACAAAAAGCCACTGACTGGGGATAGCTATGTAGAAAGAAAGACAGCCTGGACCCTTCAGAAAATCATGTCATCAATTCACCCCTCAGCCCTCCCACTCCAGAGCACTGAAGAAAAATCGGGTTTCCTGCTGCTTATACAGCCTACTGCACCCATTAGGGGCAAAGCAGTGAAAATAAAGAAATTTTAATCTGTATGAAACCTGGATGTGAGGAAATCTCAAGAAGCCTACTAATATAAATCCTCAGAGGAGATGGCCAGATTGGGTGAGATAATTACCTATGTTGCCTCTGAGGGCAAGAAATCAAAACTCCAGGAAGTTGAACAGTAAGCAGTGAGTGCCAGTATCAGGAGATTCAGGCATCAACCATGTCCTCCAGTGCAGGGTGTTGCCTTCTCCCCACTCTGCCAATGGGGCTTCCTTCTCAGGCTGCTGGCAAGATGAGGGCATACTCCCAGGAGGCACGTTAAGACAGTGCAGAGCCTGTCCAGGCTCTATGCTCCTCCTGTCCCTCTGTCCACATCCCTCTTCCCTCTCGCCTCCCGCTCCCCGCCTCTGTGCCTGCCATTCTTTCCACCTCCCCTGGTCTCTCTGCACATCCACCCTGCTCCCCACCTCCACCCACTCAAATCTCCCCACAGAGGCCTGCCCCGGTCTTACTACATAAGATGACACCCAGCTCCCGCCTGCCTGCCCTCCTTCTGCCTTCATAGTTTCCACAGCGCGTAGCTGCATTCAACTCAGGGTACATTCTCTTGATCTCATCAATGTCTGGACCGCACCTGCCTGTAGGCGCTGCTGGAGCTCAGAGATTCGCATCTGATTGCTCACCATTTGCTCAGGAAGGAAAGCAGCAGCGCATGCAGGACACGGGGGTGGGGGGTCATGTCCAGAGATCGCGCCCATCGTGCCCTGGCTTTGGTCAGCATCCCAACCAGAATCAACACACAAGCATCCTAAACCAGTTACGGGCAAAGAAAGGGGATTTCTTTCAGCCTCACAGCAGGTGCTAAAGAGGGGCACTCCTGGCCCCTAGAGGGGTCTATTATACTCTCTGATCCGTGCTTCTCCCCGGCTTTTTCTCTCGTCTGGTTTAGAGACAGCGGCTACCTTGTCCTGTCCCCGCGCCCACTCGATTCTCAAGGACTCCCCTGGCTCTGCCGCCCTCGGTCCCTCGCCGCAGAGCACCTTGCGCCCGTCTGCCCAGCCTTCGCTCCAATGGCTTCTTCTGCTACGGAGGTCACGGTCCCAGGGACCACCATCCGTGCCCGCTCGGCCCGCCCTTTTCACCACCTATCCCCTCTTTCACCTGCTGGGAGATCGCAAGCCGAGTCTGCAGAGAACCAAAGCGGGTTCTCTCCAAACCCAGAGCTGCAAAATCGCAGCAACCTCAGGGCGGAAGCCAGGACCGAGAGGGGCTGGGGGCCACGTGCGGGGTGGTGCCGGGCT